ACATTGATCGAAATTAACACACGGAAGACGTAGAAAGCCGAATCGGATGCGACGCGTCATGCACTCACAATAAAAAAAAACTATGGAAAAAAAAACAAATTATGGACATCGATCTGTCCCGCACTGGTTTCCATTGGTTTCCAGTTATTCCAAACTATTTTTATATTTTTTAAATATTCTATTAGTGGCATTGAGGCTCGATTTATTTCCCGGGAGAGTGAACAGTAAAACGAAAAGTAATTGAGGCACTGATCGAAATGATCAGTACTTTCAACTGGATGACTCACTGGTTCTGTTATTCAAGAATACATTGACGAAAAAATATAATTTGCCAATTTGTTTTATTTGTTTTAGATAAAAAGTTATAGTGAAATTTTGTATGAAAATTGCGGGCATTTGCTTGTTTGAAACAAATTTGATCGGCAGAATGATATTTTTTTCTTCAGTGTAGTTCCTCTTTACTTTAATTCGTAAATCGAGCCCCAAACTGTCCCCGAGTCGCAACAATAAAGACGACATTGAAAAGTATTAGTGTACAATTAACATTACCATAGCATATTCACCTCGGCATGAACTGCTTCATGTCAAGACACTGGAAATAACATAAATCGTGAGTTTCCTGTCTGTCCGAAAACAATTATAACATTAAAATGGCTCTGTTCCTCCACTCAAACTCGAGAAAATTATCTACCACGAGACATGGATAATTCCCGCCAACCATAAACTACATTTTTTGCCCGTATTTCAATACCAAGAAGAAAAGAGTGTGACACATTTGGCGTACGAAAATTCGATGAGATGTAAACCGGGTTTTTTTTACCGTTAGACAATTCCATGCGGGCTAAAATCCACCGTTTTATCCACACTCTGACATTAAAATGAAAACAAAACAATAAAAAAACCATGTTTAATAATCACTTAATACAGTCACTAAATATAAACACGTTGACCTTGATGCAATTGAGGATAAATAATATGAGGACTGGATGCGCATCCGATTGTCATCATCTCTATTATCGTGTCTGTGACGTAACTCAAAATCTTGTTATTTTCATTTCAATCTCACTAACCAGAAAATCAAGTGACAAAAATTTATTTACATATGAAGATGTTCATGGAGTTTATTTTTTTTATTGAGAATCCACGTACGTTGTTAAAAGATTTTGGTTGAAATTGCCGATATATTTGGACTTTTTATCAGGTGAGAGTTACCCTGACATTTCGTAAATGGAATTCCGTAATTGAAAATTCACAATTTGATGAACGAAATCATGAAAACTGAAAACTCCAGGGCAATTAATCTATGAAAATTGAAAGACATTTATTGTCATTTGGTACTAAATATTCAGGTTTTGATTGAAAATTCAAGGAAGTTTGGGAATTCTCGTCTTCCTGCTGCTCGAAAAATTGAAATTCCATCATTATTTTTCGGAAAAATTTGAAATTTCATGATGGTTTTCTCTTCTAAATCCAATTTAATGTCGCTCTTCTGAGAATTATTAGGAAACTATCCATGAAATTTTCATTTTTTTCTGACATCGCAAACTCTTGAAAATTTCTGCAGGGGTTTTACGGTATACATTTGAAATTTTTATCAAGTGATAAGTGAAGTTTGTTACTCTACTGAAATATCAAAGGAATGTCGTAACTGAATATTCACAATTTAATTTAAAAAACCTAAATAATGAAAATTTCAGTTCAATTAATCTACAGAAATTAATAGAAATTTATCGCCATTTCTTACTAAATATTCAAGTCTTACGTCCGGTGGCCTGGCGTAGTGGTTAAGGCCGTTGCCTCACAACGGATAGGTTCCAGGTTCGATTCCTGGCCGGGTAGAATGGTGAGATCTAACCATTTTTAAAGTCTTGATCAATCGCCATATAGTCTCATCAGACTCGAAGCGATATAAAATAAGCATAAAAAAAAAAAAAAAAAAAAAATATTCAAGTTTTGATTGAAAATTCAAGTAAGTTCGGGAATTCTCATTTTCCTGCTGCTCATAAAACTGGAATTCCATCGAATTTTCAGAGAAATTCAAAATTTTGATTGTTTCCTCCCCTAAATTCAATTAAATGTCGCTTTTCTGAGAATTATTACCAAACTATCCATGACATGTTAATTATTTTCCAACAGTGAAAACTGTTTAGTTTTTGCCTGATATTTACGGTATAGTTTTTGAAGTTTTTATCACGTAACAGTTCCACTGATATTTCAAAGGAATTTCGTCATTGAAAATTCACAATTTGATGGAAAAATCAATGAGAACCGTAAGTTTTAGTTCAATAATTCCATGAAAATGAATGAATATTCAGAAAATTTTGGGACACATGCACTTGAATTATTAATTGATTGAAAATTTAGAATATATTTGTTTCCATCAATATTTCGAGTAAGGGGAGAAATATTCTTCTTTCTGTTGCGAAAATATTTGGAATTCCATTGAATTTTCACTTGTAATACCACAAGAGCCTCACAATTATCTGTCAGTCAAGTTTTTCACGTTAAAAAATCACGAGTGCGAAGCACGAGTGATTTTTCCTGAAAAACTTGACGACTTCGTTTGTATGCAGGGAACCTTGAGGAAAATGGCCGATTAATTTTGAAGCTCGTGTGGTATTCGGGAGATTATTTTTCTAATCCAAATGTCGGGCAATATAATTGGACCATGAGACGAAACTCACAGTTGAGAAACGAAAATTGTATAATTAATAAAACGACACAATTGAATTCAATCTGTCAGTTTGACGAGGGGTTAATTCGACTGCATGATGTTTTGTTTTTTATATAGCAACTACCTGAGAAAATTATCAAAAAATTATCAGTTGAAAACCCTGTAACTTGTACCACGTGATGTCGAATGGGCCAATTATATTGCCCGATATTTGGGTTGGAAAAATAATCAGTAAAATTTGAAATTTCATGTTTTTCCTCCCAAATCGAATTCCATGTCGCTTTTATAAAAATAACTACTGTCTCTGGAATTTAATTTCTCTTTCTAACAGTATTTACAAATAGCTCGTGAAACCTTTTCATACCGGAGAGAGCTATAATAATCCATCAAGAGACCGTTTTTAGTCCATTTTGTGGACTATAAAGAAGATTTAATGACTTCTCTCCACACCCGCCTTTTCCAGATATATCGGAATATATTGGTAGCGAAGCGGCAAAACGGTTTAAAGTAGCTGTACCGTTATGGTAAATTCGAAGATTATTGAAAACTGCAAAAAAATTCCGGAAAACTCGATTAGATTCGGAATCCTAATTTTTTGTCCGAATTTAATTATTTTTTTGTTTTCAAAGAAGAAATGTTTAAAAATTTGGATTTAACCCAGTGTCTTGTGTAAAAATCAACATTTCCATTGTAAAATTAAAGATTAAAATCTGAATTTTTGACACCTCATAAAAAATTATTCACCGTTTTGCAAACAAGTTCTATTATTTATTTATAAGAAGGAAATGTTTGAAAAAATATCAATATTTCGCGAAGTTTAATTCCGATAATACTGACTGGGTATGATTTTTTTCTAATTTTCCCCATGCAATTTAGTTAAAAAATTCAAAAACTGAAAATAGGCAAAAGTGCAGCGTAGCCCGGCCGAAGAGTCGAGCTACTTTAAAGTATATCCCTAGAAAACACGTTTTTTTAAAAATTGTTCGCATGTTTTTCATAGATAATGTTTATAATAGGTAATGGGCCCCCCCGAACTTGATTTTTCCGTCTAATGAGAAAACGATTCTTACGATGCTCTTAAAAAACTAATCTGTAATAGATTGATAAATTCCAAATACGGTGATTTTTTTTGTAAAATTTTGTACTACATAGTTTCTGCGATATTCAATTGTAAAAAATGAAAATTTTGTGAAAGCATTCCTTGTTTGAATCAAAAAATTAATTAAGAAATAATTTTTTATTTGATTCAAACAGCTATTGTTGCCTGCTTCAATAACACATGAGAATAAAAAACTCAATACCTTATGAGAATGCAATAAATTAAGGTATTCAGAATTTTTTCCGGAAATCCATAAGGACTGACTTTTGGATCCGATTGTCTTGGTATATATCTTAAGCCGATTTTGACTAATGGCCAGTTTTCAATGAATATCTCCGAATCTAAGAGAGATAGCCAACTTTGTGTCATAACCTTGTTTGTAGCGCTCAATTTGCTCCACAAAAAAATTTATTACGAAAATTTCGCTATCTCCCTCAGATTTGAAGATCTTCCTCGAAAATTCAGATGAACACAAAGTCGGCTGAAACCGTTTTACTGCCTCGCTACTGATACATTTCCCATATAATTGAGAAATATTAAAAATAATGATTTCTAATAATTTAAGAACCCATTAGAACTCAACCAAATACCAGGTCAAGAGACTCATTTCCGGGCTGGCACACCTGAGACTAAAAAATTGCTGTAACCATAACCGCCTGCATTGCGACACACGCATTTTTATGTGACTGGTTAACTTAGGACAGTTTGAATGCTAATTACCGATTCTTCGTTATACACGTGCACAATCTCTCTTGCCTCAAGGCATTACCAGCACGCGCCTCAGTCGCCGGTATTCAGGCCAAGTCTCGAGACGATGTGACACCAAAAGAGCACGCATTAAAAAAACACGTGTAGCCATCTAAGCTAACAGAACCACCTGAAACCACCCAAAATATCACACTTTCCGTATAAATCCTATTGCATCAAGAACGACGTATTTTCTAACCAAACTCCTGCAGCGTGACGCTGTATCCTGCAAGGACAATTACTCCTGACTAATTGGCACTTAGCTCGAAGGTCGTTGAATCTATCATAGAAAAACCAAAAACAAAAACGCGACTCCGAGAAACTAATGATAAATCTTCACGAATTTCCCATGCCAAATGATCAAAATATCACCTTCCTTCCATTTACCCCTCATAAGTTATATTATCTCCGTTAATCCAATTATCGTATCCATGAGTATTACCCTAAAAAAGGCCACCGATTATCATCAATTTAACCAATTTATCGACGAGGTCTGGGCAACGGTTGTGGCGCATGATGATTATTCCTTCCGTACTGTCCCCGCTCGTGATCATCGAGGCTGAGTTCAGCGACCATCTGAGCAAATTCCCGATCCTTCTTCTCCTCTTTGGGATGAGCGTTACCATTCTGCGGACTGAATCCCAGTGAAGCTAAGCTCCCGTGACTTCTGCTGCGATGTTCGGCCCTGATGCTGTAGGAGAACGCCCGTTCGTTGAGATGTCCTTTGCGTCTGTAGATTCCAGTGCCAAATCGGGAATCCCCCTCGGGACTCTCAGCAGCGCCATCGGGGGCAGTTAGATCAGCATGAGAAGCCGCGAGTCTTCGATTAGCCCCCAGTGTCGAGGACTCCACCTCCTGGGGGTGCTGTCGTCTCCCCCTGTTCCCAGCAGTACCATAAGTCGGTTGATAAAGTGCTGCAGGTGGTGGTGGAACTACCGGAAGTGGAGCGTAGATAGGAACTATCGGCGCGGCAGCAGGAATCGGTCGCATCCCGCGATGATGATGATGAGCTTTTCTAGGAAGAGTGGCAGCAGGAACGAGCAGCACTGGAGCAGGTCTTGCCAGAGTTCCCGCTACCGATCTACTACTCGGTGGCATCTGGTGGTAGTGCTGCTGTCTTATCGGATGACCAAGAGTATGATGCCCATGACCATTAGTGTAAATCGCTTGAGGATGCATCTGAGGATGCATTTGCGGGTGCGGCATAATCTGATCCTCATGACGATTTTTGATCTTCTTGAGCTTTTTACTCGTTTTTCTCCGCGCCGATGTCGACTCTTCTGACATCAGGGGTTGCGCTGGCGGTGGCGGCGGAGGCGGAGGTGGCGGAGGAGGTGCCACCAGTTGTCTTGGTCTGGATCCTCTTGTGCTCCTCAATGTTCCCTGTTCCTGGTAAACCGCATCCACCTCGTCCCTTCCCTTTGCCCAGACTTTGTGATTCTCATCTCCATTGTAAAGACTAATGTCGTCGTTAGATGCAGTATCCAAACGCGTTCCTGGTGGACTGCTGTTGTCTAAAGTCGTGCTTGAGCCGCCTAACGTGTGGTACAAACTACCGTTAGACGTGCCATTTGTAGGATGAGGTCCTGGCGATGTGCCATTACTAATGATCGTTGCTGTATTTGGATCAAGACCTTTAGCATAACTACTGTCAGCGTAAGCATGAAAACAGCATCTCACCAGGGCGTTGGCCGCCATGTCACGTTTACATATGAAGGCGTGGCACTCGAGCACTTTGATTCCCGTTGTACGACGGAGTACAGCGGCAAATAGGGGTGGATGATTTGCTGATGGATTCCTCGCGAATGGTGAGTCCAGTGGAAGGAAACGGGCGTTGGAAGTGTCGCTGTTGCCGCCTTTTACGTGACGCACTGCGGCGCAGTAGTGAAGGGCTTCGATGGGAAAGAAACGGGTTACTTTCTTTCGATGCTCGTCCACATTCTCCAGGAGGAGACCGTTGGACCAGACGCTCAGCCAGGAGTCGATACCACGTGCTCCCAATGCCCCTTGTTCCGGGTAGAGTTCGCGGAGTGGCTCTTGGACACCAAGAAGTCCCTCCTTGCTGGCGTGGGGCACTGAACTGCCGAGATACAGCACTCGGCAGCGACAGTACGGCGTCGCTGTATCTTGGCTTGATCCTCTCATCTTCATGGAGAAAGACAAGAAGCTGAGGAAGAGATACTGAAAATAATGATCGAACTACTATTTCTTCTTTCTCCACAGTTCGATGACCATTGGCGGTGCTCGGTAGATTACGAAGATTATGGAGCCACGTGAAGCATCCTCATCATCTTCACCATAAACACTATTTCAATAACAAACTTGCAAGTAACTTAACACTTCAATGTTTATTTATTTCATCGAGTTTCTAACTGTTAACGTTTCGTTGAGACTATTAAACTCGCGGTAGATCGTGTGCCAATACTATTGCTAAATATCCCCCTGATCACGATTTCACAGCAGCTGTAGCCGCCTCACGGATATCTCTTACTCCATTATGGCTGACTTCTCCTCTACCATCAGAGAGGGACACACAATTTTATTGTTGTAGTTTCCTATCCTCTCTCTGTTCCTACCTTTCTCCACTTCTCCTTCGTTTATTTATTTTTTCTTTTTTCGAAAAACTGATACACAACTCCAACACACCGATACTTATGATAGAACCTAAAGTCTCTATCTCTCTCAGGGGCTTTAAACTCCCACCACTGTTTTATCCAGTTGTTCCTCCAGTTTGCTGTACACTAGCCCCCACCAGTTTTCTTCATACCTCACAAGCATTTAGCCTCTTCCTTTTTCTTCTTCAGCGAAGGAGGGGAGGAAAACGGTTTTATGGTAGGATGAGTTTATCTCACTCGCACGTCTCAGGTATGCGAGTAACCAGTGGCGTCGAACCTGAAGCTTTATATGTGTGTGTGTGATTTGCCCCTGTGGAATTTTTGTCCTCCTTCCTCGCTGAAGCTCTTGCCTTTTTCTAATCCTCACGGAGGGGATTTATTCGCTCACTTGCACCGGAGGATTCAGTGCCAAGAAACTGTGGAATCTCGGAGGTGCGGCTATCGCGTGGATTTTAATAGGTTGTATCGGATTATGGTTTTTAGGTGTTTTAGGTGAATTTTGATCGGTGGGTCTTCTTCCAGGATATGCGCGGCTTATGGCTGTGAAGAGTTGCGGAGTGGGGGGAAGAGAACACTCGTGCTCCTGCACGGTTGCACCGGGTTCCCACGAGTCTGCACACGTCGGTTGTAATGTCTGCACTATTCACTACGTGATCCTTTATTTCTTCGTTCTTGTTCGCTTATTGTTCCGTTTGCCGTTTTTTTCCCTTCTTTTTCTCAGGTTTCGGCACTTCACCGGTGGGATACGTGGAACAGGTTGAACAGCGAGGGAGGGGGGAATATTTACTTGTGTGTGCGCACGCGCAGAAGATCCACAGTTGTCGGATCGGTTGGTGCGGGCTCTTGCGACGTTGGCGGTCGGTGCCGAACTGAGGTGAGTTGGTTGGAAGGTGAGTACCTGCGACTCGGGAGAACGCTGAGAAGGTAGGTGGAATATAGTGGTATCCTTTGGTACGGCTGTCTTTGTTGGTATCGGGGAGAGGAGGTTTGAATGTCGTGGTTATGCCTGCGGGGGATAACTTTTAGTATGGTTTAGAGGGGGAGAGTGGGAATAGGCTGTGGGAGGATTGCGGGTCGAGGGGATTCAAGGTATTCCGGGATTGTTGGGGTCTAGGATGCTGGCTTCGTGGGATTTTAAATACTTGTGGCTCTGAGTGAAATAAATGTAGACAATATTTTAATTGATTTCAACACTCTTTCATTTTTTTAGATTTTATTAATGAAGAAAAAATTGTTATTCAAGATTTTTAGCGGCAGAGTGCAATTTTACTGAATTATTATAAATATTATTGATTTCATAAGAATTAATGCTTGTGATAACAGGAAAATTTTAGATAAATTCAATTAAATATTAAATAGGTTAGATCGAGGGACTACTCATTCCCCGATTAAGTGACACCATGATTTCGAAATGAAGTCGGATTTGGAAATGAAATAAGATTTTTAAATAATTCCAAACATGACATGTAAAACATTGAATTTGCTGTGTTTACACTTTCATTTTTTTCCACTGCCTTTACTTTTTTTAAGTCGTTTGTCTTATTATTATTTGTTTTATTGGGCAGAATAATATAACTGATTCCAAAATTACGAGCGCGTGTAGACGCAAAGAGTTCGGTCTAATTGACGTGCCGCTTTGCCATCTAAGCCGAGACTGAAGAAATATTCAAAAAGAATGAATTCAGTGGTCGAACAGACAGTGGCAATTGCGCTGCGTCTGCGATTTTTGAGTTTTCAGGGACACGAGTGTCCAGTGGGTAACGAATAAAGCGAACTTATGAAGAGAATAAAATTTAGAATGAAATGAAATTTTTTAATAATTCCAAACATGACATGATAATTATTCAATTAGCTTTGTTTATACTTTTATTTCTTTCCACTGCCTTTACTTTTTAATTAGTTTGTCTTATTAAGGCCCGGGTGTACTATCTTTCGAGCGTTATCTCGATGTTTTTTTCATCTTTCGTCATCTGAAATTGTCAATTAAGTCCTGCATCATGCAGAAGTTTTGAAAAATTATGAATGAATAATCAAAAAAAAGTAGAAAAAATTCTCAATTTTTTCAAAGAGCATTTTTAATTTATATTCAGAATAAGTTGAGTAACAAGAAATTGAAGAATGTATCTGATTTACGGTGACAAATGGCGGCCTGTCACCCAATATCATGCAGGGGGAAGACAGATTTCGTAAATCTTTTCTCACACTGCACAAAGACATTTATTACGGAAAAGGCTCTTTGAACAAAGTTGTAATATTTTGGAGAATTTTTTAATCACACTTTTATCACATAAAAATGGCAGATGACTACGTACCACTGTTTTGAAAATTGAGATACCTAGCTGTCACTTCCCATGAGGAGTTAGTGTTTTGTTTTCCACCATGGAAAATGACAGCTAATATAGATAATTTGCTACAGCGAATCAGATATTTGTAATTTCAACCTTTTTCAACTCATTCTGAATCTCAATTAAAAACGCTCTTTGAAAAAGTTCAGAATTTTTTTCATTTTTTTTTATTATTCTATCATGATTTTTGGGAATTTCTACATGATGTACCACTCAATTGACAATTTTGGATTACGAAAGATAGAAAAAATCCACATAACATTCAAAAGATAGTACACCCGGGCGTTAAATCAAAGTTTAAATTTATTTCGAAACTCGTTTGTTTCCTTTAGATTTCATGAATGAAAAAATAAATTCACTCGACTATTTCCGAAAGATAAAGAACCACATTAAATTCTCACAATATGATTAATTTTTCATGAATTAATACTAATTATTGAATTTGTTATTTTAATACTTCTCGTTTTTAACTGTCTTCACTTTGCCTTCACTTTGTTTTTATTCTACTCATTTTATTAATTCTTATCATATCGTGGGAATGTAACTGCAGTTATTTCACATAAGGGTGAAGCATCCTGTTTTTTTTTCTCAATTTAAAAAATGAAATGAAAATTCATGATGTTGTTGTCTTTTGTATCTGTGGCTCTGCTTTTGATATACGTGGACTACTTGATAATAACAGGTCGAGTACACGCACGTCGGATGATGCTTTTTGTGATCGTTTTGTGGGTCGTAGGTCGGATAACAAGGGGGGAATGTATTTGAGAAGATGTTACTGCGAGTGTGTGCAACTTGTAACTTTTTCTGATGGATGAGTGGAAGGTTGGGGGGGGGGGGGAGGAGAGGGAAGAAAGAGGTGCAAGGTGATTCGAGGTCTTGAGGTCAGGATGTCTCGAATTCCGTTTTACTGTTTGGACTGAGGTGTGTACAACAGGTGAGATTACAATTTCCATATGTAGACGGACGTTATGGGTCTGTGCGCCAGGGGATTGAGAGATACTGTCTCGAAATTTGATCTTTAGATCGGGTTTCTGATATTTAATAATTGAAAGGAATGGATTGTCAAAATCAATTTTCAACTTTTTCGTCTATTTTTCTTATTTTTAATGTTTAATTATCAATTGATTAATTAACTTTCTTCGATAATCACAAGGAATCATTAATTTTTTTTAAATTAGACACCATTCTGACGTTTAGTTCACTCTGTGCCTCTTGTAAATAACTAGATATTTTATATAGCCTACATAAATATCCTAAATAGTTCCTGAAGCAAGCGAAGGTACACATTATGTAATTTAATAGCAAATTAAAGTTTTTGCTGTAATTACTCTCCCCATGCAGTGGGACATTGTATCCTTATGCATTAATAAATATCAATAATAATAATAATAATGAAGAAGAAATAGTATTGCATAATATTGAAGGAATGAAGCAGTCTTTCATATCCGCACTCGAAATCAACCCGGCTTGTAGGCGTAATGCCTTCATATAATATTAGCTGGCCAAATGCAGAAGGCATCTTTGGGTCCCTTCGTCTACTTAGTCTACTTCATCTACTTGCAGCATGATTCTGGACTGCAGTAGAGCTCACCCTCTGGTCAGAGGGAGCGCTATTGCAGAGCGATTAGAAGTTTGTATCGCTTAGTTCGCTGGGCGGTCTTCGAGGTGAAGTCGGAGCCCTCGAGGATCGTTCAGCGATCTCATTTACGAGTAAAAAAAATAATAATATTAACAATAATAATAATAATAATAATTTTTGAAAAACTTATTGATTTCGGTGTGGGAAAAGAAATACAAATATTGTTAAGAAACGAAGAATTTGTTGCAATGAAAACAGTCGTAAAAATAAATATTATTATCGCAGTTGAAGAATGTTATTGCTATTCTCAGAAAAAACAACAATATTTATTATCACAAAGCTGAAAGCGGTGTCCCTCGAATTTCGTTGTTTCATCTTGGAATAACTGGAGAAACGAGACGAAAACCCGACGTCCTCCCATTAACGATCCTGGACAGGACCACTCTAAAGTGCTTCAGTGGTTGCATGTGAGAAAAATACTGGTACGCTCGTAGTATATTTCAGAGATACAATTAGCATAGGAATTCGTGGTGCTCCGTGTTCTGGGGGAATCGAGGATGGGTTTATCATACTGCGGTCGAGTTTGACATTGGAATTGTAACTGGCGGTCAG